GTTACAGAAACTGGGAATGGCTAGTCCAGTAAAGAGAAGGACTAGGGGAGACATAATGGCAATGTTCCAATATTTGAGGGGCTGCCACAGAGAGGAGGGGGTCAAGCTATTTTCCAAACCACGATAAGGCCAGACAAGGAATAATGGATGGAAATTGAACAAGGAGAGATTCCACCTAAAAATAAGGGGAAACTTTCTAACAGTGAAAGTGATCAACCAATGGAACAGCTTGCATTCAGAGATTGTGGGAACTTCATCACTGGAAGCTTTTAAGAAGAGACTGGATTGCCATCGATCAGAAATGGTGTAGGGTCTCCTGCTTGGGTGAGAGGTTGGATTAGATGACTTACAAGGTCCCTTCCAACTCTGTTAATTTGTATTTATCTGGCAAAGCTAACAATTGGTTTCTAGAAGACTCTTTTAAACTACAAAGGAACCTAGTTGTACCATAAACTTGATACCAATCATCTAAAATGCAATCATGTAACTATGGGGGATTGTAGGATGGTATTTTGTGATGGCTGTGGATATTTTATTGATTATCACTGTGAAACTGCAAATTTAGTTGATATATGAAATTCTGCTGCTTCAAAATGTCTTGTTGGCAATTAACATTAGTTCTAGTGTGAATAAAGGCTAAAATTCTAGAAAAAAAGGAAGACAATATAAATGATATGCTATAATATTGAAGAAGCAATTTGACATGAGTGAGTACTGGTATTATACAATTAATTATTCTATAAACTTGCCCCATGAAGGAAGACAGAAAGTTATAAAACTGTTGTCATGGCATTCTAAAACCATTGATTTGAGCCTTTGTAAAAATAAATAAATAAATCTGTAAACCTACTATTCAAGAGGCTAAAAAATATATGACAAAACCAATTACAAACAGCGGATAATTATAAAAATTATATAGGTAGTCCTTGATTTACAACCATTCATTTAGCAACTGGTCAAAGTTATAACACATTGAAAAAAGTAACCATGATTGGTTCTCATACTTACAACTGTTGCAACATCCTCATGATCACATGATCAAAATTTGGGTGTTTGGCAAATGGCATGTTTTTATAAGAGTAGCAGAAGCCCAGGGTCATGTGATTGCCAACTGTGACCTTCCTAGCTGGCTTTTGGCAAGCAAGATCAAAGGAGAAAGCAGGATTTGCTTAATGATCACATGATTCACTTAACTACAGTGATTCATTTAACAACTATAGCAGAAAAATCAGGTTCAACTCACTTAATAACCACTTTGCTTAGCAAGGGAAACTCTGATCCCAACTGAGGTTGTAAGTTGAAGACTATCTATTGCAGTGGCAAGTTTTTTTAAAAAAAGAATAAATTTCATCACATTAATTTTCCAGAAAGAATATCCAATAATTGATTACTTTGTTCAAGGGCTTTACAGGAACTAGACTATCAAGTGCAGTAATAAACAATATTGGAGGTGAATATAATCCTGATATATTGGTAACTTGTAATTAGACAAATATATCTCCAAGAATCTTGCAAACTATTACTTCCTTGGTTACCAGAAAGCCGTCAAAGGTATGAAATGCAAGTTGACTACAGTTCTTGAAAGTTGCTTATTATAATGAGAGGTAATGGATGAAGTAGATTCTGAAGAAATGTTTCTTGACTGTAATCATAAACATCTGCTTTACGATAGCTTTTGATATGTTAAACATTAGATTGAAGTAAACAGTTGTGGTAGTTTCTTCTACCATAGAAAAAATATGATGCTCTTGTTCAGAAAACATCCACTTATTATAGAAATATCAATAGCAACTAAAATAATTTTAGAAAAGGAATTATATTCCAGTGCCATCATTTCCATCCATGTTATTGTATTTTGGTAGGCACATATTCTGAAAAAGAGATGATAAAAAACCACAACTTGCTTGTATGTATGTATGTATGTATGTATGTATGTATGTATGTGCATATGTATATGTTTGCAGATATATCCTCTACTTCTACTGTGATTTGTACAAGAATTCTTGAATATAGGGGTTCAATGGCTGTGTTCATAAAAACTTAGAAAATCCAAGTAGTTTCAATGGTTATCTGTTCTAACCTGGACCAACGTTTGTGGTTCTGAAGCACTCTGCCAGCCAAAACAGGCCGCGAAAATTGATGAATCTTTTAATGAGTTTCTATTTAGAAAATAATTTGAAACTTGATATAGACAAGTGATGCCTTTTTGTAAACATGTGCCAAAATTGTGTGCATGAGCATGCTCCACTCAAAATTGTGTGCACGTACATGCTCCACACCCACAATGCAATGTGCCCCATCCACCTGTGCATGTGCGCATGACCCCCTCCCACATGCAGGAGGGGAGTTTTTGCCTTCCCCAGACTCTGGAGGCTTGGCTCTGTAGCCCCTCTGGAGGCCAGAAACATGCCTGTTTCCGAACTCCAGAGGCCCTCTGGAGGCCGGAAATACCTGCTGTTTTTTGCACCAGGAGGCGGAGTCCGGAGGAGGCCATTTTCGCTGTCCCAGAGGCTCAAGGAAAGTCTCTGAAGCCTGGGGAAGGCAAAAAATTGGACTTCCAGAAGTTTTGAAACTAGCATGTTTCCGGCTCCCGGAGGGCCAAGGGAGCCCTTTTTCACCGTCCCAGAAGCTCAAGGAAAGCCTCCAGAGCCTGGGGAGGGAGAAAAACAGGACTTCTGGAAGTTCGGAAAAGGGCATGTTTCTGGCCTCTGGAGCCCGGGAGGCCATTTTTGTCTTCCCAGAGGCTCAAGAAAAGCCTCCAGAGCCTGGGGATGGTGAAAAATGGAACTTCCAGAACTCCCTTTCCAGGCTCCGGAGGCTTTCCTTGAGCCTCTGGGATGGCGAAAATGGCCTCTCCCGGGCTCCAGAGGCCCTCTTTCCTGAATCCTGGGGAGCGCAAAAAAGGCTTCTGGAAGGCCGAAAATCAGGTGGCCTACATGTGCCATCATGCATATAGACATTGTATTGGGTCCTGCTCAGTTTTGACACAACTGTATTTATGTCATTATGTTGCTGCCAAATGATTTAGACACTATCTTTGGAGAAGAAAAAAAGAACAAATGTTAAATGAATTAAATGTGAAAAATTAGGTCAGCTTCCCGAGGCAGTCTCAAGGATTAGATATAATACTTATTTCAGTAGTTCAAAGCTTAGCATCTGGTTCTCCTTATCTGGATTTAGAAGCTATGCAGAGTTAAGCCTGGTTAATATTTGGGTGGAAATATGGGGAGGGGGGGATAACCCAATCTTGGAGGGTACCTAGTTCTGATTGGGAGATGCTTCTAAAGAGAAGGTAAAGAAGGCAAAGTGGGTTGTGGGGCCCCCGAGTGGCCCATTTTCAGCCTCCATGGCATCCTTCAGCACTCTGACAGCCAGAAATGGGTTGTGGGGGGCTCGCAAGGCCTGATTTCAGCCAGCAATGCTGTAGAAGTCCATGGAGGTCAAAAATAGAACTCACGGAGGCCTCCCAGCGGCCCTTTTTTGGCCGGTAGTGCTCTAGGAGGCTGTGGAGGCTTGCAGAGCGCTTCAGGAGGCCATGGAGACTGAAAATGGGCTGCAGGAATGCACATGGGCTCCCCATGGCCTATTTTGGCTGGCAGAGGCTCTGTGGTCCAATCCTTTGATATTTCAAGCCTGGCCCCATAGGCCAGATCTAAACAGCCTGCGGGCCTTGAGTTTCACACCGTTGACCTACATGATCTATCTACAGGTTGTCCAAGACTTACAACCAGAATTGAGCCCAAAATTTCTGCTGAGGTGGAACATGTGTTAAGTGAATTTTCCCCAATTTTACAACTTTCCTTGCCACAGTTGTTAAGTGAATCACTGAAATTGTTAAGTTGGTAACACAACTGTTAAGTGAATCTGGCTTCCCCACTGACTTTGTTTGTCAGAAGGTTGCAAAAACTATTTATGTGACTCCAGGACACTGCAACTGTCATAAATATGAGTCAATTTCCAAGCATCTGAATTTTGATCACGTGATCATGGGGATGCTGCAAGTCATAAGGATTTTCAATCTTGTTATAACATTGAACTCTCACTAAATAAACTGTTCTAAATGAAGGACTACCTGTATCCGTCAGATTATATTAAGATATTTATCTGAATTCTCTGCAAAAAAAAATTCATAATACAAAAAATGAAGAAATTTTTGAATATCATGAAATGCATAAAAGGATTCCTTTTATAGTATTGGAATTTTGTGAAATATGTTAGTGAAGTAGTGATTACTATTAGTATATGTAGTTTTCATTTTATGAATGTTCATAGTGTGGTGATTTCTGTGCATTTCTGACCACATATCTACAGAAAACTGAAATAAGATCATAAGCACAGTCACAATTTCACTTGGTAACCACTTTGCTTAGAGACTGAGTTGGAAATCCCAACTGTGGTTGCTAAACAAGGATTATTTCTATATTACTATTCACTCTGAAAAATAGTATATTTCTTCCATTTGATATGATTGCTCTTTTCCATAGAGTGTGCAACTTTAACAGAAATGTATACTTAGTGTAAGGGTGGAAGGAACTTTTGCCTAAGTAGCCTGATCAACCAAATTAATCAACTCTGCTGTTTAGTGAGAGATGTTATAGATTTTTATACCAATGTATGTATTTGACAGTAAATAAGAAATATCTACTATTCAAGCCTTTAAATGTTTGAAGTAATTTTATTATCCACATTGTAAGAATGTTGTACTATGAACTAATTTGATGTCTTAACAGATCTGATGGATAGTAACAAGAGAACTAGGAGGTGAGAGAATAATCTTTAACATTTTTATAATAAATTTAAAATTCATTTTAAAGGAATACTTGTTATGAAGAAATTTGAGTCCATATTTGATTTAATTTTTAAAAAAAATCAAAACTGAGTATCATATAAAATTCTTGACTGCAAATTAGAAATTGAAATAGTAATATAAAAACAGTTTAAATAGAGTCCAGTTTGAAGAGATTTATGCCAAGAACTTGAATATTTTTTCTGATACTCACAGTTCCACCAACTATTCTTCCTAGTGGATACCATGCTCTTTCATCAAACCAATTTAAGAATTCATAAAATCCATGTGATGCAAGATGATGTGTTGATCTGTAGTTAAACCTAGAAAAAGTAGACCAGATGTTAAAAAACCCTACTAATTAACTGTCACTTCAGGTAAATGTTCAAATCTGTATAGTGCTCTTTGAGGAACTAATGCTTAGAATTTCTAATATTAAAATAAAATACGGCCAGTTGCTTTTTTCCAAGACTAGAAAGCAGGCAATGGCAAACCATTTCCAAAATCTTATCAAGAAAGCTTAGAAATCTTGCTCAGGCAGTTACCATTATCAATTCAATTCAGACCAGAGTCAAAGGAAAAGAAAATACAGTATTTATTAATATGAATCTCCTGAAACATACTCGGGCAGGATTTAACTGCCAAATTCCAAAGTGATTTCAACTAGAATTGTTCTAGAAGTTTGAAATACTGATTCTTATAGGATAAATGGACAGAAGATAATGAGCTTACAGAAATAATTTAATGGCCTGCAACTTTAATGGAACTGCAACTAGTTGTGCAAACAAGAAAGGAACATAGGTTATAACATTAATTGGGACAAAGATTTCTGTCACTAAGCAACACAATTATCATTACTTAGCAATGGCAACCCTGACAGTCCCAGTTTCTGTTCAACCCCAAAGCATATAAGTTATCTGGGAAGAGAAGAAAGTTGAAGGCAATGAGCACGGGGTTGCCATGCAAATAAGATTTGGAGATCTTGGAAAGGCCATTGGAGGCCATATCTAGTTTGGCAGGTGGTGCTGCAAGCAGGTATGTTAGTGAAATCCTGGCCCAACAATAGCATAGTTCTGGCCTAATGACTGCAACTGAGACTACTGCAACCATCATCACTAAGTAAGGGCTTGTGAGGGCTCACAATGACCACTTTGCTTAGGAATAGAAATTCCAGTCCCAAGTAGGGTTGTTAAGTGAGGACCATCTATATAGCTTTTAAGAGAGAAGTGAAGACCACCTATATAGCTTTTAAGAGAGAATAAGTTCTACAACCCTGTATAAAACATCTAACAACTTCAATATTTTTTCTCAAAATTACATCATACATGATCAAGAGGACAGTTTAATCTGGATATGGTTTTATATTATTATATCATCAAATTGGTCTTTGCATTCTTTCCCACAGCTGCCAAATTTGATGGGTGATTGGACTTCAGTTGCCAGAATCTGCTTTTGAGTCTTACTATAACACATTTAACTTGTATTTGAAGTTAAACTTCAAATTCCCAAGAAGCAACAAATTATCAATTGTAATGAGGATTCTGAAAAATGGCAATTTCCTGTTGCTGTACAAACTGACATATTAAATCACAATAGTAAAAATATTAATTGGAGAAACCCACAAAAGGTATTTACCATTATGACCGTTTGCAGAAATGCTAAGTGAATCCTCCAACTATTGCTCCCCCACCCTAATCCGAAAGGCACTAGGTATGCTTTGCTATCCCTCCAGTTCTACCCACTCCTCTCCACCTCCAATTACCCTTTACTCGCTTTCCTTTTGAAGGACCCAGAAAGTAACAGTCTTCTCTGTTGCTGGGCCATATGAAACAATTGAGACAAAATCCTGCCAATGTCCCTTTTATTGCTAGTCTTAGCTCTCCCAGTGTTAGTTCCACTAGCTTTATGCTAACACAGCTAATGCTAGGGGAGCTAAATCTAACGGGGAAAGGAAAACCGTCAGGGTTTCTTCTCTTCAATTGTGCCACATTGCCCAGCAACAAAATGGACAGCTCACCTTATCTATCCTGACCTCTGAGTATCTTCGAAAGGTAAATATGCAGTTGTGACAGTGTGGGTATGAAGGAAGCCCAAAAGGCTCTGGGGACTTCTAGAAGCAGAGCACAGAGTATCTCAGGTAATAGGGAGAGGCCTTGGGAGGCCCAATGCAGTAGGTTTGTGCCTTGATTAGGCCTCTCAGAGTCTGTCCTAACCAAGGCAACTCATGCTCCACTTAACTTGTGTGTTGGTTCAACAAATGCATTGGAGACAGCAGGAAATAGGTGGGATGGTTAATAAGCTATTCATTTAATGACTATTCTATTACAGTATTGTGCAGGCTCCGTTACTGTCATACCTCAAGGACTATCTTGCTCTTTTAACCTAATGTAATAAGCATTTAATATGCATAACTATCTATAGCATAATAATGTTAATGTAAGAGTTACCCTATTGTCTCAGAGAACATTAACTGCCTGTAAGAACAATACATTCTACAGTACATGACCGTTAGAAGTATAGTATTCATAATAATCTCTTCTGAATGAATCCAGGTCAGTTATATTACATATAAAAAGACATTTTTCTATTCTCTATTTACAAAATATTAGTGAAATGTGGATAATGGAGTAATTAAATGTTATATTATGTTAATTCCATTAATTTTACGTTTTAGGCAATAGCTAACTAGAAAATGGTCTATCAAGGAATCAATTTTAAATAGATGCTATCATCATCATCATCATAGCTATTGTCTATCCACTGCAGGTTCAAGTCATTTCCGCATGTTTACAACCAATATGAGCTTTCTTTTGTCAATTGGGCCTGCAATATTTGCTGATGTCATCAATCCATCTTATTTTAGGTGTCTTTTGCTGTTGTTTTTTTTTATCAAATGGGATCCGTTCTATCACTGCTTTGGTCAACCTGTAATCATTTCTTCATCTATGTGACCAACCTATTTCCATTTCAATTCTTTTACTCTCTTGGTGAGATTGTATACTTTTGTTTGTTCTTTAATCCATGTGCAAGTCTTTCTATCTTATCTTGTAATGCCAAGCATGTCTCTTTCCAAATGCAGCTCTTCCATGTCTTTATAGCTCTTCTGGGCCTTGTGAGAAGAGAACAACATTATCTACAAATAGGTGCCATTGATTTTTATTCCATCTTTTGCCCAGTCTAATTTTCAAAATACTTCTTCAAGGCAGGTTCAGAAAAGGATAGAAGATATTGCATTGCCTTGTCGACCACCTCATTCTATGTTGATTTCCACTTTAAGATCATTAAGGCAAATTGTTGCCATTGTTTTTTTATATATTGATTGTAGTAAATTTATGTAAGCAGTATCTATGCCTTAGTTGAGCAATGTATTCATTATTGCTTGCTGGAATACTGAGTCAAACACTAGTTAATGAAAGCTACATACAGAGGTATGATGCACCCGTTGTGTCTTTCAGTGACTTGCTGAACAACAAATTGTACTGTAGCCACTTCTGAACCCTGCCTGCTCCTTTGGCTGTACATCATTTAATGTTCTCAATATTCTTTTTGCTATTATCTTGGTGAAAATCCTGTAGATGACTGAAAGAAGGCTTATTGGGCAATAGTTTTAAAATCATCTTGGGTACCTTTCTTGTATATAAGAATCACTTCACCATGCATTGGGTATTTTTTCTTTTCTGAGATATCTCTGTGGCCACCAACTTTCAGTATTTCAACTGTTATTTCCTGAACCTTTGCCATTTTTCATTGATTTTATGGCAGGCTACTGCCTCTACTAGGATATTTGACATTTCCTCTTTTGTAAGTATTGTTACATTTAAGTGGTCTTGATCTCTGTATAGCTCTGAATAGTTTTCTAATTATTTCTAATATTTCCTGTCTAGTTCTACACACAAAATCATTCTCATGTTTTAATGAAAAAACCTTATTTCTTGTATTTATAAGCTTGCACTTTCTTCTACCCCTTGGTTTTACTCAATTGCCTTTTTCAAAAGCTTCATGCAAAACTGACGTGTTTCTTCTTGAATACATTTTCTTATCGTCTTGCAAAGTTCAACATACTCCAGTTTATTAGTGAATCTTATGGTATTTTTCACTGTCCATCATTTTTTAATTAAACCAATAATTTCATCAGAGATTTTTGATTGTACGTTTTTCTAGTGGTGGTGTTCTAGTGTGTTATAGATGTAGCAGATTCAAGGATATTTTTAACTATTCATTCATTTTGGTCCATAATGTTCATCTCTTCCAAATCTTGCAATAGACTGAAGCGATTGATAGATTAATCTCAAAATTGCTGTTTTCCTCTAACAGCTTATCAGTCTGCATTTTGGTTTTTTGTGATGTCTATCATTTTCATATGTTCTTTTTATTTTTACTTTAGCTTGTACCATTCTATGGTAACTTCCAACATAAAAACAATTGATGATAGTACAATTGCAGAATATGGTTTTCTCATTTGACATGATGTAATCAATTTCGCTTGCGTAGACTTACTTACATGGAAATGCAACAATCAATAAAGTTTCCATTACTGCTAAAGGCATGGAGAATTTTTTTTAAAAAAACAAACAGATAAGACAATGGAACATCTTACTTTTAACAATTAACTGAATAATAGTTTTTACAAAACCAGCTACTTTCAAAATTGAATGAACTACTATTTTTAAACACGGAAGTTCATCTTCATAGGAATATGCTCCAGTTCAGGTTTAGTTTGCTCAACTACCTTAAATATATCCACGTGGCATTTAGAATTTTTTTTAATTCAATTAACCACAGATTACCTTATCTCTGAAACTGAAGTAGTTAACTTAATTTAAAAAGTCAATTTCAAAAACCATGGTTTGAAGTTATTTGCAATTTGCAAACCAGTTTAGTTCAGTTGCTGTTCAGAAAATTTATAAATCGATTAATCAAAATAGAAGATAATTCCTTTTTGTAACTATTATGTGATCATGATTTAGGACACATTCAAAAGTAACTATTATGCAATAGCAATACAAAGGAATCAATAGGCATAGACTTAATCTAAAGAGCCGTGATGGTGCAGTGGTTAGAATGCAATACTGCAGGCTACTTCTGCTGACTGCCAGTAGTTTGGCAGTTCGAATCACACCGGCTCAAGGTTGACTCAGCTTTCCATCCTCCCCAGGTTGATAAAATGAGGACTCAGATTGTTGGGGGCAATATGCTGACACTATAGACTGCTTAGAGAGGTCTATAAAGCACTGTGAACAGATATATACCGTATTTTTCAGACTATAAGACTCACCAAGATTTTGAAGAAATATATTTTTTTTAAAAAATGTTTTTGCACTCT